GCTGGGTGGAGGAAGAGACCTTCAATGACATCAGTGAGGACAAGGAACAGGACATGGCTAGCTTGGTATCCAATCTTGTGCAAATAGGGAGTTTGCGGTTGTGCAAATGGACTGTTTGCGGTTGTTTGCGGTGCGTTAAATGGGGAGTTTGGTCTGTCACTGTGAAGTGGGCGTAACCCTTACACTACCTGATCGATACAACATCATACCTGATGTTTTAAAGCAGGTTATTCCAAACAATTTAGGAATGTTAGGTGATTTATGCCCTTTATGGATTAAAACCAGACTCTGCATCAACTATGTAATTTTCCATGGGAGTTTTGCCATGGATCCCCCTCCGGCATGCCACAGTCCAGGTGTTAGTCCCCTTGAAACAACTTTTCCATCACTATTGTGGCCAGAAAGAGTCCCTGTAGGCGTCTGCCTATTGAAGTCTATGGCGGTTCACCCGTTCGCGAACATTTGCGGAAGTTCGCGTTTGCGAACCGAAAATTTTATGTTCGCAACATCACTATCAATTATGTATTGTTAGAGAATGTTTATTCAATCTTAAAATTATTGAAGCGCTAAAAAAGTGCCGAAATAGACTGTAAGTATACTTAATCATTTGACATGACTACAAATATATAATGTTAAATGGTTATTCATAAAAAGGGAGAGAATGAAAACCCTTCATTTAGACCTTTCGGGCTCAAGGTTTTTAATCGGTATATCCAAAAGGATTCTCGCTGTCTCAAAAATGTGTCATAATTCCCCCTCCTATGACTTTTTTTCACTAACTCCAAACCGCAGAACCTTAATCCATTGGATTCTCCATGATGGTATTCTCTAAGGTGCCTAGAGATGGGGTTGTCCAAAGGATTCCTGGGGGATCGTACATGTTCCTGGATACGTTTCTTGAATGGTCTAAATGTTTTGCCAACATATTTTAACTTACATTGACAAGTAAGTAGATAGACCAAACCAGCTGTGTTACAGTTGAAAAAGGAAGAAATCGTAAATTCTTCACTATCATCACTATTTCTCACTTTTTATGAATCTTTTAATAAATTTACAAGTGGTACATCTCCCACAGGCATAACTACCTGTTACAGTAACCAAGTAGAGGATTGCCTCAAGCTAAGATGGCTTGGGGACAAAATGTCTCTCAGGTTTCTCCCTCTACGCGCTGTAATAGCTGCATTCGGGGTCAGTCTTTCTTTGAGATATTCATCACCAATGAGTATAGGCCAAAAGCGTTGAAGAGAGTCTTTTACTCTATTCCAGCCAGCATCATAGGTAGCTATAAGTCGGATGATATTAGAATCCTTAGATGTCTTGGCCGGAGAGGTACCCGCAATCAATGTACTTCGATCTGCTTCTAGGGCTCTTTTATAGGCCTGTTTCAAACATTTGTTGGGGTAACCTTTTTCTCTAAAATGTGTTCTTAGATCCTTCGCTTTAACTTTAAATTCTTCAATTGTACTGCAGTTGCGCCTAACTCGAAGGTATTGACCAACCGGAATGCCTTGTCTTAAAGGTTGAGGGTGGAAACTATCCCATCTAAGAAGGTTATTACAGGCAGATTGTTTTTTGTATAAAGTTGTTTGTATAGTGTTGTGATCAGTGATAGTGATTGTTATATCCAGGAAGTTAAGGCTTGTACCCCCAAATTCACTTGTGAACCTCAGATTCTCTTCATTCGTATTGAGCACCCTTACGAACGCATTGAAGTCTTCTTCACTCCCCAACCAAATCAGAAACACATCATCAATGTAGCGGCGCCACAAGAAAATAAGTGGAAGATACTCTGACATAGCCGCAGATTTGATTATGTTTTCCTCCCACCACCCTAGGTGCAGGTTAGCATATGATGGGGCACACACCGTCCCCATTGCTCTTCCCCTCACCTGATGATAGAATTTATTTTTGAAAACAAAATAATTATGCGATAAAATAAACTCAAGTAATTTCACGCAAAAGTTGGTATGGTGGTTAAAGGATTCACCTCTCTGTGTCAAGAAATGTCTTGTATGTCTAATCCCATTGATATGGGGGATAGAGGAGTACAGAGCCTCAATGTCTAGACTACATAGTTTAGCTGACGGGGGCAGTTTCAAATTTGATAGAAGAGCCAAAGTCTCCTCTTTTATTGAATAAACATTCTCTAACAATACATAATTGAATGTGTTCACTTTAGAACTCGTTAGAGCTATACATTAATTTATTTTTCATCCCTATTATTGCAGTCTATTACAAACTACGAGGTTACTCTATTATTTCCACTCTAAAATTATTTACTTTTTTGGAAACATTTCACCATCAAGTTAGTGAGATGTTAATTGTTTATTGAACTTGGATACATTTTAAGATAATGAGACATATATCAGCCTTATAGCCGAGCGACTTAATTATTTTGCTCTTTATAATATGACATTTAATTAAGGTATAAGTTATGGAATATATAATTACAAACTAAAATAAAAATAAAATTAAAGTGAATTGATGAATATTGAACTTAGATTTAATATTAATAAATTAAAAATCAAAAATCAAAAAGAATTTAATATATGCATCTTTTTCACTTTGGTTAAAGTAATTCTTTTACCTTATACCAATTAAAAATCTATAGATAATACCCTTAGGGATTTTATATTTATCTTAGTTTGAAACACTTCCTTTAAGATCTTTACAATATGAGGCAATAACAAAAATGTCATCTTTGCTCACTATCAGTTTGGAGTTAATGCACAACATTTAAAATATACTGTATCCATAGTTTATATCAATTTTTATGTGTATAACAATTCATAGAATACTCTGTGGAATGGTGGACGGTCCTTTTAGATACATTGTACTATAAGTAGGGGTTGTCTCCCCACCTAAATAGCCCAAAGGAGTAAATTGATACTAAATTTCAAAAACCAGGATAGTGTATTACTTATTTGGCTTTTTGCCATCTAGCTTTGTTTAAAATGTATCCAGCCAGCCTCCGTAGAATTGATGTTGCTATTGAGGCGTGTCCTCGTGGCACGTCACTATGGAGGCATGGCTTTTCTCCTTCAAAAGACCGGGCGGGCACCCGGCACGGTAACTCTCTTGACAAAGACGCCGGAGTGCGTTGAAACGCGCGTCGAGTTAGACGTGCTGTTTCTTTATTTCACAATTGTAGTACAATTTAATAAAAATTTTATAAAGATTTATCAGGTTTCTTAATTTAGTTTTTTTAGCTCCATGAGTCATTTCTATTGCTGTGGGTATGCCGTGGGAGACTGATAGAGGAATAGTGATCTTTCTTTTCCTCCTTCAGCTTCCTTCAGTAATTTATATTTTTTTGACACTTTGGACATTTGTAAGCATCCGAATGGCATGAAATTCGTATGAATGCACATTCGGAATGAAACAAATTGCACATGTCTACTATTGAGTAATTCTTGCAGGAATAGGTCAAGAGGAAACTGATAAAGGCTGTCTGAACAAAAGGTTAATGCACAGATAATAAAACAGATATGTGAACAAGAAGCAAGAGTTAGAAGCAGACATTCATACAACGGTTCGTATGTCATAACATAAAATTGTGATAAAAGTGTGGAATACTTTGTTTTAGTCTAAAAATTTCAACCTTCTGTTTTCTACAAGTACTTCTAAGTAACAAAATCTTAATACAACTTCGGATCGAACATGTCTCAATTGATATATAATAGATTGACTTTACTCTAATGGAGTAATGAATCCAACAAATCCCAGAGTGCCAATATGATCCGTTACTCACCACAGAGGTAGCAAGACAAAACCAGTAATGTAATTTACTAAACTGCAAATCCTGGTGAATGTATATGGGAAATGCAATTAAAAGGACAAAAACAGTTATTAATTGGAACTTTTTTCTAATTTAGACATTTTTTAGCCTTGGCTCCATTGACTTCACATTTTACAATACTCTGGTCAATTCTTTATAAATTTCCATTTAGAGAGAATCCCTGTCAGATGTTTTTCACTTTAGCTATTTTGCCCTAAAATTGTCAATTCCGTTGTGAATTTTCTAGATTTCCAGTTTTTATAAAACTGTCACTAGAAGAAAGATGGGACAAAATTCTGTAGGTGGAACAATCTCCCTGGAAACTAATTCCATATCCCTGCCGATTCTGTTGATTTTCACTGTGACTTTTCCTTTTTTTTTTTACAACTGTGCCTTGATTTGCAAAACGTATACATTTCTCTCCAAAATGTCAGTCAGTCTTTTACAAAATACTAGGTTCCTTAATATATATAGCTGTCACAAATCGGCATTTATTCGATCTAGTTTATATTAACTCAATTTATTATGAACAAACCAAATAAACCACGGGGCCCTATTCTCAATTCTTCTTTTTTTATGATCTAAATGTTAGCTGCAGCCATAAAGTCTGATTTAATTGTCTTGCACAATTCATCAATTCCTGTAATGTATCTCGTGATGCATTATGCCAGGGTGATATAAAGGGATCCTAGGAAGCCGTTTCATAAAATACCACATGTTATACTATTCTGCATAATTCGCTATCCAAACTCTGTTGCTGTTTGCTTGTGTGTAAACATCATATAGCTATCCCAGCTTGCGCCATTGTAAGAAACTCTGCTTGCTGGGTTAAACCTCTGTAAGAACAAAGCTATTTAAAAAAAATACATATAATTCTTTATTTTTGCAGGTGTGGTATAACAGCATAGTAAACATAGACAAAAATATATATACACAATTAGAGAGGAAGCGAACATTTTTGTCTAGCATAAACATCCAACTTTTAGATTTTTACTTGTGGTTTAAACAGGAGGTAACCTGCATTAGAGATTATATATATCATCGGTTAAAGATAAGGAGATCAATAACACTGTTGTAGTGTGCTCTAATTCACAAGCACTATGAGCACCTCTGGAAGTCTACTTAATAATAGTAATATTGGACATTGACTTCCAGAATCCCTATTGCAGGAGAGTATAGTATGTGGGGGGGGGTTGCGTTTGGGGAGCGACTTCGAGTAGTGTCACATTACGTAAGGATGCTCATGTAGCTGACCTGCTGTGCGGTCTTGTTTGACTCCGAGGCTGTGGACAGTTTCCTCCGTGAAGTTCATCCTGCCTGCCAGAGTGCTGAGGTCTGTTTTCAGGACCACAATTTCCGATGCAAGGTAGGCCTTGATCTCCGTCACCATCGCGGTGATGTCTGTTTTTGTGGCCCACTGCAGGTCGGGCTGCTGTTGGGGGAACAACTCTGCCACTTCGGGGTTGTGGCTGAAGCTCCTCCGGTTCTGGGTCGTCCACCTCAATGTGGATACGCATGGTGTATCTGCCATTAGATCTGCCATTTTAGGCCTGGATGGCTGGGTGAGTAAGAAGCTGGTATCCTGGGTGTGGCTCCTGCTTGAACCCCGAGATTTGTGTGAGTGCTTGCCCATGGTCTCCTGCTCCAGTGAGTGCTTTGTAAGTGAAAACCAACTCATCCAAATGGGGCAATTTTAGTTTTGAAGACTATTCTGTATCGGAGCTCAAGGTGCAGGCGACCGCTCCGTTAGCTAACTGGCTCCGCCCCCCAGAAAAAAGCTATTTTTTTAATAACATCAGCTACTTGTTCATAAATTTCTGTACTCCCCTGTATGTTAAATGAGAGTGCTTTTCCACTTGGGAATGGGATTAAAAATGAATTCAAAGTAAATTTCAAATGTAAGGTCAAATTAGTTATGATACTTTCAGTCCAACTATTCTTGCCTTTAGTAAATAGCCTTGTTAATACTTAGATCAGGGATAGACAACATTTGGCACTCCAGGTGTTGTGGACTACATCTCCCATATTACTCTTACAGCCATAACGCTGACAAAGCATCAGGGGAGATGACGTCCGCAATATCTGAAGTGCCAAAGATTGCCTACTCCGGCCAAGATTGTTATGATGGTATAGAGGTTTCTGCCCTTATTTACCAGTGTGAATTCTCTTCCTATTGTTAGGCTACAATAGAGGGAAAATGTATATTTCCAAACATAAATATTGCATTATCTGATTACATAATTAGGGTTTTATTAGCAAGTTTGTGTTAAAAGAGTGCATAGAATTAATAAAACAAAAAGTAACCATATATTTAATGTTTCTTGAGCAAAAGTAAATATTCAGTAATTAATATTCTCAGAATAAAAAGGAAAGAATTTGCATACCACAGGGTCTATGATAAATTACGGTGTATGAAGTCAGATGTTGTCATTTTGCTTGAAGCCCAGATTTCTATATTTCTAATTTTTGTTTTAGTTACCATATCCTATCATTCTTCATATTATTCTGTTCCCAGTCCTGCTATTTTTCAAATCTACACTAAGTGCTCTGAGCAGTGGAGTACAGTGGTGTATCCTGGTTTTGTGCTGCCCTAGGCATGACAAAACTCAGGCACCCCCTCCCCCCCACATCACTTTCCCCCTTACCCCGCCTTCTAAATACACACACACACATTCACTGACAGACACGCATACACTAGCTAACAGACACACACTCACTAACAGACACATACAGTCACTAGCAGAATTTTCCTTTTTTCAGGCCTTCTCTGTCAACTGGTTTCTACGAAAATGTAGTCTGTATTCATTGTAAAGCACAAACAATGGTATTACCATAGAAAAAAGGGCAAAATCTAGTGGAATAGTATAATAGCATATCTACTATACAGTTTCCGTAAATACAAATACTACAGTTTAATTATTTTGCTTAGACACCAAAGAGATTACATTGTCACAGAAGTGTCAGTTCACCAATTTGTGGTAAACTAGACATGTTGTAAGATTAAATTTATAACTCATTTTGTCCAGAAAGATGAGTTAGATGCATTTCAGTTTCACAATTCATATGAGTTTTTCAAATGAATAAAAGTAGCAAGTATTAATACAATGGTACCAATATTATGTAAACAAGTAGAATTGATTAGGAGTGCAAGTCATCTTGCGCATTCTTCATTGACTACCACCACCCAGAATAATTGCATTCAAAATTACAACCATTCACAAACACATAATCATTTAAAATTGCGTAGTGTTGTTGCGGTATAATAAAATTCAGATTTAGCATGTGACTGAGCATTACTATAAATTTACATATTGCCATGGGAAAGGTCCACATTGAAAATTTAGAAGCCTGGAGGAAGTCTAAAGAGGATAATACATTTTTTTTTGTATGTTTATAACCATTCTTGGACTATTTATACTCAACAAATTGTTATAACAACAACTGTCTATTAGACCTCTAGGCAACCAAGCAAATAAATTATTCTTCATTCAGTACAAAATTCTTTCAAAATGTACATCCAGGCCACATTTTCCAGTCGATTATCTATAGTATTCAACATTTCTGTTCTTTCCTTTTATTACCACTTTTATACCAAGTATTGTTTTATTATTAGATTTTGGATGTAATTATTACCTGTGAAAAATTAGAAGCCCTTTGGGGTATTAATGGCTTGTCTTGCTATTTTTAAAGGTCTCATTAGCATTTCTCATCGTATTATGTATGTTGCTCTGAGCCATTATTTAGTACTATAAAAGGCAATTTATCCTTGTTCACCCTGGGTGAATTATATCACTATCCAGAAAGTAAAGCTATATTTATCCCATATGGAAAAAAGTGGTAATATCGAATCATTCCAGATTTTATTCTTCTTGAATACATTGACTTTCTCCAAGCTTATTAAGAATGATAATAATGATAGTAATATTTGTGTTAGAGGAACATATTCTAAATCAGTGTATTCAAATATTATACTACATCTCCCGTACTCCAAAAACATTTGCAGTAAAACCAAGTGGCTAGTTTAAGACCTGAAGATTGACTAGGAGCTGGAAGTCTGGTATTTACCTTTCTGCTTATTTAAACCATTTTATTATTATGCTACAATGGGCAAATTATAAGTAAAGTTTATTCATTTTTTTTCCAGTCATGCCAACATATATAGGGCAAGGGAACTTAATTTCTATTGTGTACTAAGGGGTTTGAATATCGGAAGGATTGGGCATTCTTTGATGTAACAGCTATTGTTGTTTGCACTATAATTAATTTTTTTTATATTATTCTATAAGTGTGTAGGTGACTTTTGGACCAGACACACTCGGCAACTCCTGGTATTCTGATTAAAAAGTGTGACACATTAATGGGCTAAAGGATTTTGAACTCCAGTTTGGACATTAGCATCTAACTAAAAGGGCTCCTGTTATCCCCCACACTGAAAGGGGCCTGTAGGCACTATATTCATTGAATTTAATTGAATTGGTTATAGTGCCTGCAGTCCTCTGGCACTGTCCCTCCATTCAGTGTTAAGCCATTTTGGACTGATAGTTTAACACTGATAAGGGTCCCTGACCATGCACAGCTTGCCGCTAATGTAGGTATGGCTAAGGCAGAGATCCCAGAACTCCTTTTATACAAATTGATTCATACCAGCGGTCAGCTGATACTATTAGCCAGTTTGCTGCACAGGGTAATATGTCCTTATTAGCCCAAGCGGTACAGAGGGGATGGGCAGCTGGTTGCTCTCATTTAAAATTAAAACATTCTAAACTCTTTAACTCTGAATGTTAGGAAAGTGCCAGGAGTAGTGATGTCCCGAACGGTTCGCCACGAACGGTTCGCCACGGACTCATCATTGAGTAAACTTTGACCCTGTACCTCACAGTCAGAAGACACATTCCAGCCAATCAGCAGCAGACCCTCCCTCCCAGACCCTCCCACCTTCTGGACAGCATCCATTTTACATTCATTGTGAAGCTGCATTCTTAGTGAGCTGTCCAGGAGGTGGGAGGGTCTGGGAGGGAGGGTCTGCTGCTCATTGGCTGGAATGTGTCTGCTGACTGTGAGGAACAGGGTCAAAGTTTACTCAATGATGAGTCCGCGAACCGTTCGGCCAACCGTTCGGGACATCACAAGCCAGGAGTATAAAAACTGATTTAGGCAGAGTGTCTACAGTGCTTTAATATATTATTCCCCAAATTATTCAAGAAAACAAACCAAACATGATGGCCCACATGTCCTCTTTATTCTTTACTGATATCCTGTGATACACCGCACCAGGGCATGAGTATAGGGGGAAAATGGAATTTCGTAATTAGATAAACTCTGAAGCCAGCAGAAACACTATAAATATATTCATTACCACCCAAATATTAAAGGCTCTCCAGACTTTAGCTTGCTTAACTGCTGTATGTGTGAAAAGTTTGTCCATTTATATAAATTGTTTTTAAAGTGTGGCTTTCCATAGAAGTTTGCCTTTTATAAATTTAAGCATATTACACCTCCTGGTTGTCAATCAGACAACCGGTCCTTTTACTCAGCTCAGTGGAGATAAACTCAAGAGGCAGCCATTGCTCAGAGCTCCTGCCTTGCAAATACTTTTTTTTTTTGTAAATATGTCTTTATTTATTCGCGGTATAATGAGGCATTGTTATGGATACGCAGATCCTTACGATTAACACAGTAAGTATGAAGCAACAGTACAGAGAGCAATTATTACAGTTGAAAACATATATAAACCATGAAAGTGTAAAGTTTAGGGTTGTCATCTCGCAAGCCTATTAAGGGGGTAGAACCCGCTGATCTTGTTCTGTTACCATGAACATATATAGATATGTAGTTTCCCTCCTTGCTAGTGGCCGTAAAAGGGTGTCCTTGCATGTCTTTGAGTCCACCCCAGTAACATTAAGTCCCATAATCTATGGGAGGTCGCCTTTGGGTAGTTGGGAGGTGTCGTGGCGCTACAAACCTATTCCTTGAGTCAGAGGTTCCTGCATCCCTGCGTGTTAGGGAAAATATTACTAGGTCTATGCATAATTAGGTGGGTTTCATTTCTGAAACAGCGGTGATGTTGCGTGAAGGCGTGAGTAGATGAGACTCCCGCTTTCCAGTATGGGGTCAACTCTGCGGAGTACAAGCTTATCCCTTGCCATGCCTATCGACTGAAGGTCGATGGTCTCTGTCGGTGACTCTATTTCGTGAGAATCAGCAGTTTGTTCCTCTTTATGACTATTTGAGCGGGCTCATTATCGGGTTACTTATAACCGAGCTCGAGCGTTGTCTTGGTCTCAGGTCGCTGCGTGTTGTCCTATATTATCAGGCACTATGTGTGAGATCGTTGCGAGCTATCTAAGGTGTTTGTCTTGCGCGGTGTGTGAGTTTGTTAGGGGGTACTTTGTCTACGGTTGTGTGTTTGTGTGTGTTTCGAGGTGCCCGGCTGCCGGGTCCCGGGGTGTCCGAGGTCTGTGGCAACTAGCGGGCAGTCCTGTCTTGACAGCTCCCCTTCTCTGTCCGTAGTGTGTTGTGCATGTCCTCCCCTGTTCATTTTATATCGAGTGTTCATCCTGGGAATAGCCCGACTGAGTCCGGTATCCAGCTCCCCAGATCCCGGGGGCCCAGCAAGAGGGGGTAAGGGAGAAA